AACAACATAAAATATGAAAAGTTACATTTTTTACAAACAAAATATATATCGAAAATAATGTTTCATATTTATTTAATAAATATTTTACTCTAATAATATTTAATTTGAATGCAACTTAATAAGAAAAAGTAAAAAAAAATGTTTTTTTAGATCATAACAATAAAAAATGAAAATCACTAATAATAATTTGAAATAAGTTTTTATTTTAATTTTAGTTAAGTCATCAAAATGATGTGGCATCCACATCACCTCATTAAAGCCACACAAACAAAAAAGTCAAAGGGTTAACCGGTTTAAAAGGTAACAGGTTACTCATTGCTATTATGGGTAAATTTTTTAAAGTACAATGTCTTAATAAAAAATAATTTGAAAGTACATTGCTGTAATAAAGAAAAACAAAAGTAAAATGCTATAATAAGAAATTTTATGAAAGTAGGTTGTTATTTCATGCATTTAACCCTATATGTATTTGGCAAAATCGTCTCACTTATTTGTCAACTGAACTACACGTCAAAAATTATTGTTTTGTAAAAGTAATCTTGCAATTCTTGTGTTCTCAAATGTAACAAATAAAAATATGTTATATGTATATATCTAATCTTTATATAATATTAATTGCAATAAATAACAAAAAGCACCAGTGGTCTAGTGGTAGAATAGTACCCTGCCACGGTACAGACCCGGGTTCGATTCCCGGCTGGTGCAACCCACTTTGAGCCGTGATGACACGCCTCCCTGATGGTTGGGTCCATCAATTCAGCTTGACTTTCAAGATTGACAATACAGGCCCTTCTGAGCTCAACTTTTTACATTTCCGCCCCCTCTTTTTTTTTTTCGTTCAAATTATATATTTCATTCATAACCTTTTTTTTTCCACGTAAGTCATCGTCGCCGATCTCATATCTTCATGATCGTAACTTAGTCATTCGTATATGGCTTTGTATCAAGGTGAAGTGTCGTGGGTCATATGTGATACTAGAGCCACGAAACAGTTATATGAACCGAAGGTTAATAGTAATCGCACTAGATATGATCCTTCTAGAAACTATGGTACAATAAATGTAAGGCATCAAGGTTGTCCCTTAGCATGTTAAATGTGAGATTTTGAACAGGGTCCCGAAAATTTTGGGACCCAAATTTACATGTGTTTAGGTCTTTTTATCGACCTATGTAAAACTATAGCCGAAGATATTTAGGTTCAAACCATTAATTGTTTGGTATTATGTTCAAATTATTAATGGTTTGAATCTAGTTTCAGATTGTTAATCGTTTTAGGTTTAGTCCATTTTTGTTCTTAACATATATTCCTTGTTATCTCATTTATGCAATGCAATCAAAAAATTAGGATGTAACAGGGTCTCCAAAAAGATTGGAACGTCTCTGTAAGGCGCCCATGGTGGACGCCAACAACAAACTTTGGACTTTTTACTGTGCGGATGTGCCTTTAAGGTGAAACAAATGCCATAAAGTCACCTCATGTGTTTTTAACTAAATTTCATCGTTTCGAGGAACTTTAGTTGATTTGGAGAGACTTTCGGTTTTTGTGGTTGATGTCTCTTGTACTTTCTCGTATCTCGTAGCACCCTCAAAATTTGGTACGAGTAACTTACGAAAATCGGTTGAACAAGATAGGTCCCACCCTGGTGAACGCAATGTTGTGAAGCGTGTAGAAACCTTGACCATTCGGTATAAGAATCACAAGTCAAGCTTCGAAATCGTGTACAGAGGACTCGGGGACACGTGCTTTATCGGGTTGCAAAAGGACTAGTAGGCCTTTACGCGTTAGGGATTGCTTATTTATGTCGAAAACTAAAAATTGGACGAGAAAAACATGTGAAATTCAATATTAAACGTATTAATGCCAAGTAAAAAATCGAGCACACAAGGATTATATGAAAAAAACGAAAAAATCAAATTCATTAGAAGTATAGCCACGATGTAAGCAATCCATCCATCGAGCATATGGAATGCTCGAAAATCGAACCTAGCTACACAATATCCATATATTTTCGTTGCGTTACAGTTAAATATAAACTTGATTAGATAGTGTAGCCAAAAGATCGAAAAGAACAAGTATAATGCGTATTGTGCAAGGGTAAGTATTCAAAAACCCGACTTTCACAATGAAATCCTCTCGTGATCACGTAATTCATTCTTTGGCATGTTCGGGTATCAGCCGTTGAAGTAGTTCCGGAGATGCATGAGCAAGTTCTGTCAACATTATATGTTATTTTTATCAATATTAAACCAAACTAAACCCTTTGGAACGGATGACAGATACGCATACATCCCATTCCCAGACCCTATTTTTGAACGAGATATACTGATTTTGTTAGGTTTTAAACCAAACTAGGTCCCGTATATCCCATCATGAAGTATGGTCTGTGGGGTGGGATGTATTTTTATCAATATAAACCAAAACAACCCAATCCCTTGGGATGGACGATCTGCGTACATCCCACCATCTGACCCTGCTTTCGATTGGTGGGATATACTGGGTTGGTTTGGCTTACAAAAAAAAGCCAACCCAGTATATTCCATCATGAAGTGGGGTCTGGGGTGGATGTATTTTTATACTATAACGGGCGAAAATCGAAGAACTCGACAAATGAAAAGAGAGTTATACCTTGAGGTGTGAAGTCAAATAGAGGAGGGAGGGGTTTGCCGTTCGGCAGAGTTGTGTTTGGGTTCCGTAAGTCGTCAAAGAAAGGATGAGTGCAAGCCTCCAGCTGTAGAAGAAAATATATAAGCAAGTATTTGTTTGTTTGTTTATTGTAGAAAGATTAAGGTTGATTTCACGATGTTTTTACGAACACGAAAAAAGATTAGATTCACTTACAGCGGTACATCGCAGCTTTGGTGAGTACTGGAGCAGGCGGGAAACAAGATCAACGGCTTCGGATGGCACGCGCTTGTTAAATATCTGAAAAGACCATGAAAAAGTAAATTTCTCGACCTTATAAAGAAGTTTTCAAGTACAAGCACCCGAAATAAACATACCCTATCTAATGTCTCCCCAATTATAATAAAATAGATATTGCAGTAAATGATAATAAAAAGTGTCACTTCTATTTTAGAAAATTATAGCCTCTTACTGGGAAAGGATGTTGTTTATCAACCCCTTCTGACCTAACAAATGTTACTGACCGAGATGCCGATCCGGTAAGAGTGGAGAGGCTTGCTTACCCGGTCAGAGCATCTCACCTAATCAACGCTTATCCAAAAAAATTTAGTGAACAGCTCTTAAACCATGATCATTGATTAGTGAAATCCGATCATTAGTTGCAGGCCTTACTAATGTCTTGGGTTATTTTTTTTCAATTTATTGAATAATTTACATCTAAACAATGGTTTTTGAAATCCCGAATCCAAAAATTTAATGGGGTATATATCTAAATTTTAGAACTGGTTAGATTACTGCTGTTATTATAATACATTTATGGTTTACTATATTCGGATTTCCATTCATCTGTAATTCTTCATAATATGTGAAGCGCAGAGAACGTACGGCTATGGGCAAATAACTGGTTACAACTAAAATAAAGATTATTATAAATCTTGATTGAATATCAACAAACCTTATGCCATGGATGAGCTTTGATCTGCGGGAACTTGAATTCGGTGTAATGAGGATTCATGCACTTAATTTCCTCACGTGTTGGCGTACCCAAAATCTAAACAAGAAAAAAAAAAGATGATTGTTAGAATAAGTTTCAAATTACAAAGTTTGTGATGCCAAGAAGATAAAAAAAATTGTCTCAGATTGCATACCTTGATTATCTCTACAAGTTGATCTACACCGCTTTCACCAGGAAAAAGAGGCTGCATATAATGAATCATCACTTGAATGGATAGTGTGATATTGGAACTTAACCACAAGGATAAACCAAACAATCCCCGTATATCCCACCCGAAGGTGGGGTAGACGGTAGACCTGACCTCAACCCCAAAGACTAATGCGCTTGTTTCCATGAATAATCCCGGCTTGTGTATAGTGTGGGAAAAATCGTCCCAAAATAAAGTGTCGCCTTTTCAAAAAGTAACAGCCTACTTGCCAAATCTACCCATAATTACGAGATGAATAAATTCACTCTATAATAAAGGGTAAACTTGTCATTTAAATATTAAAAAGTGTAATAGTTACACATTTATTATGGGACGGAGGGAGTAGACAACTATACAAAATTGAGTGCAAGATATAAACTAGTTACCCACCTGTCCCAGGAGTAGCTCAGCCAAAACACAACCTGCAGACCACATGTCAATTGCGTTGGTGTATTCTGTTGCTCCAAAGATCAATTCAGGAGCTCTATAATATCTTGAACAAATATACGAGATATTTGGTTCCCCGGGTACCTGAAATTGCACAATAAAATCTCAACACCTGAAATCGTGATAACTGCATTTTGAACTTCAAGAGCTTTATGAACTTACCAACATCTTTGCACTCCCAAAATCACATAGTTTTAGCTGATGAGTTTGTGGATTAACCTGCATGCAACCGGGTTATTCATATATTAATACATCACCAACAAGATATGTAAGAATACGTTGAACCCCATTAGATTATTCTCCAAAAGTGCCCTTAAAAAGAGAGGGCTTAGACAAGTACAGATCACCCCCAAATGATGACTCCCTAAAGTGGTAGACCTAGGCTCTCATACCACGTGAGAATACGTGGACCCCATTAGATAACTCTCCAAAAGAGTCCTTAAGTATATAAGACTATACGTATATGCTAACATCGGTTCTCTTAAGAGAGTAATCAGAGTTTCCACATATTTTCACAAGATCAATGTAAATAAGTGAGTTTCCCTAAGCTTATTTATAAGACGAGCAATAAATATTCTATAAGATCTTACCAATAAATTTTGTGGCTTAATATCACGATGGCATACACCAATAACGTTGTGAATGTAGTTAAGAGCACGGCAGATCTGAACAAAAGATGAAAACGAAAAAGGATAGTTAAGCAATGTGCCTTTGCAAGATAAACGAAGGACAAAAATACCAAAAGGGTCATTGGCTCAGTGGTACCGGTGCCTTTGCATGATAGTTAATCAATGTGCCTTTGCATGACAAATGAAAGAAAAATCACCAAAAGGGACATTGGCCCAGTGGTACCAGGGTTAGCTGTAGAGCCCAGCCTCGCAAGTGGTCAAGGGTTCAAACCTCACCAAAAGTGAGTAGTGTGCGTGAGTTAGTGAAGATATTTTTTCTCGATCGAGTAACAAGGTTTCAAATTTTCCTCTTTTATACCATTTTTTATTCCATTTGACCATTAACCTGCTCATTAGTAACATTTGATGAAGTGGGAACCCGTTTATGAAAGGTTTAAGAACAAGTAGATGATAAATTTGACATTCACGCCATCGAATGCTACAAGATCATGGGAAAAAATGGGAGTTCTTTTAACTTTGTTACGTTAAATAGGAAAATTTGAAACTTTGATACATTAACAGGAATTTTTGAAATTTAGTAACATTGATTGAGAAAAACATTCTTTGTTACACATAATAGGAACTAAGCAAACTTCAATTTATTTTGATGCATTTTTCCTTGCATAAATATTATATACTTCAAAAAAGGACAAAAATCAATAAGAGCTTCACCTGATACGCATACAATTGTATGTATATAGTAGGCATATGTTGATTCATCCTGACATAATGCCTCGACACCCGATATACTGTTTCAGGTACGTATTCCAAGACAACGTTCAAGTACACTTCATTCTTGTCGGTTGTTGAATAGAAACAATTTTTCAGTGGAACAATGTTTGGATGGTCCAATAAACGCATAATTTGAAGTTCTCGGTTCTTGTATCTTTTATCTTGTAGCACCTTCTTTATAGCAACAGCTTCACCTGTCTCAAGGCATTTGGCCTGAAAAAAGAAAGCAAAAAAGAAAACCAAATGTTTGCTAAGTAGTTAGAATTTATCTCGATATGTACACATTTAGCATCAAGCAGAATAGAGCCACTCCCTCTGTCCCAAAATAAGTATCCACATTTCTATTTTAGTTTGCCCCAAAATAAGCGTTTACTTTCCAATTCTGCCCTTAATTATGAGATGGAGGAATTCATTAATCCCTTTATTATTAAGGGTAAAATTGCCATTTAGTGAGTTAAGAAGTGTAAAAATTACACGTTTCTACAGTTGTGTGTCTTTTCCATCATGGACATTTGCCTTTGGGATGAAGGGAATATATGCTTGAAACGATGAAAATCACATCAAGTACCTGAAAGACGACACCAAATGAACCGGTACCAACAACACGTTCCGCCATGTAAGAGAAAGTCTGGACCACAACATATTAGAAATCATAAGTATTATGGTTACGTCATCTTTCTAGTTACTAGGAAGTAAATCTAGCAATGAATCTAGCAAACAAGCAAAAAAAATTAGAAGCACAAATTATGCACAAGATACTACTCATGGATGCAATGATATCCATTAGGGTGTTCCAATATGAGATATGGAAAAGAGCCTCTAAATTTTTTGGGATCCAATTATACATGTTTTAGCCTTTACCCAATTATATAAGTTTTAACATTTTCCAAATTATACATGTTATAGCTCAATTATAATGTTTTAGCCCAATTATAATGTTTTATGCTTTTACTCTTTTAGCCGATTGGGCGATTCCCAATTACCGACTTTTGAACAACGTTAGAAGAATGAATCTATTTAAATGAATTTCATATTGGTACTTTGTCATTTTAAGACATTTTTGTTGTTTTAATCTGCAAAGACTTTAAATATGACATATGGTATAACTTTTATATTTCGTTTTATTTATTACTTGTCCAGCCAATCTATTGTCTTAGTAGAGGCGTAACGGGGACTCCAAAAATATTGGAACATAGCAGGAAGCATAGACGTATTGGAAACCCCAAAGCATTCCTCATCAACCAAAGCCAGCTATAATCACCGTCTTAAGATAAGGATGCAAGATTGAAAGAAAGAAGGATCCGAGAAATAGGGATAACAAGCAAGGGAAAACATTCATGGTACAGCCAGATAAATGATGATCACCTGCTTTGGTTTTCCATTTCGACCACCCACCGAAGTCACAATGACTTGACCTGTTTCTGTACCAGTACCATTTACAAGAGTAGCCTCAAAATCCTGCTTAAAAATAATCATCCATAAGTATCCAAACGAATTACGGTATGCATAATCATCAGTAGAGTACGAATCTTGTGACATCAAATAGGGGAATTACCTTGTCATCAGATTTATCTTCCTTGATTTTCATTCCTTGCATTTCTTTGGGAAGGTTTTCATAGTCGGATTTTTCATGTTTAGAAATCGAAGATGTTCCGGCAGCCATCCTTGCAGACTTAGCACTCTCAGGCTGATCTCCTGATGTACTCGCAGATTCTCGCTCAGCCTTTACCCTCTTAGTGTTAGAATCTCCACTCTACAAAACCACCAGGTTCAACTACATGTTATACATCAATGTAAAAGGAGCAAAAAGAAAAGAATCATGGAAAAGACAGAAAAAGAATATTCAGCAAAACATATATCCCCTTATTTTAACCTTTTCCTTTCATTCATTTACCATATTCATCTTAGTTGCTAATCGCAGGCACACCAATTTGAAGGTTGATAATAGGATCATTTATGTGTAATCAATCTAGGAAAGGACAAAGATATATATACATATACATATACATATATATATATACTAGAAGGTACTTATCCAAAATTTGATTATGTTTATCTGTAATTATTTTGAACTCAATGTTTATACAATATTTGAGTGGTTCTTAAGAGTTTTTATCAAATGTTTTATAATATAGTATAGATTTTTTATTATAATTTAATTTAGATTTAATAATGAAGTCATTTATTTTTAGTTTAATAATATAATTCTTTTAAAGATAATATTTAGTATTTTGAGTTCAATGATTATCCTAAATATATTTTAGATTATTATATTTAAAATGAGATATTTATCCAGAATTTGATTATGTTTATCTGTAATTATTTTGAATTCCATGTTTATCCAGAACTTGAATGGTTTTTAAGAGTTTTTATCAAATGTTGTATAATACAGTATAGATTTTTGTTATAATTTAATTTAAATTTAATAATGAACTCATTTATTTTTAGTTTAATAATATATATATAGATAATATTTAGTATTTTGAATTCAATGATTATCTTAGATATATTTTGGATTTTTTATATTTAAAATGAGATACTTATCTAGAATTTGATTATGTTTATCTATAATTATTTTGAATTCAATGTTTATCCAGAATTTGAGTGGTTTTTAAGAGTTTTTATTAAAAACTTTATAATATAGTATAGATATAAAACGAATGCCATATGTCGTCTTTAAGAGTATTGTATCTAGTCCCTTTTCTGTTGCGGTCAACATTAGTTTCTATGGTTTTGCTTCAGTTTAGTTGATTCGATATAATTTGTCAAAAGATGGAAAAATACTGGTCGATGTTAAAACAAAATTACACGAAAATAACCAAGAACTTTTTCCATCTTTTAACAAATCATATTGAATCAACGAAACTGAAGCAAAACCATAGAAACTCACTGTAACCAAATTGGAAAAGGGACCAAATATACATAATATAAGCAGCAAAGTTGCTCCTTATACTGTTATGTCAATATATTGTGAAAATTTTCAAACTTTTGGCTCGAGCCATAGAGTCTTTTGAATCAAAATCATATCATACTTATATACCATAAAGGAAAGCATCTTCATCTCGGCAATCATATGCCCAATGATTTTAATATTACCAATCTATTATCATTATTAACTGATAGCCAGAGAGATCAAACAACAGCTCAAACAAAGTCAAAAAACACAATAAACAAATAAGCCATTTCCATGAGAATTATTTGAACATGACTCGACAAATTGACCAAAAAAAAAATTACCACAAAAAAACATTACGATTCCATCAAGAACATCATAGAACGACGGGAAAGAAAGCTTTCCATCTTTTAAGAAATTACATGCTATTAAACAAATTCAAGCAACAAGATGCATCACATTCATTATGTTTGATCAAATCGTTTCCAAAAAGCGTTTTGAATATGACCCAATAAATGGATCAAAAAACAACACGAACAAAACGATTTCGCAAAACATTTAGCTTTCATGAATCCAAAAGATCTGTGAAACATGAAACTTCTCTGAATATGACCCAACAATTGGATCAAAAAGCACAAAACAGTGTTTTTCAAACATTTAGCTTCCATTTGTAATAGAAACGGTAAAAAAAACCAACACAAAAACAATATTACACAATAATAACAAAAATTTCTACCAAATCAACCAATCTAAAGCAAAAGCATTATCAATCGAAAAACAAAACAACACGAAATCCTTCTAAACTAACAAAACTCAATTGAAACGATCAGAAACTTACGGTATCGGAAACGGAAGTACGACCAGAGGCGATACTCTTCAAACGACGCATCACATTCATTATGTTTCGATCAAATCGTAACCCTAATTCCCCCCTTTCTTTCTGGATCTCACCACACTTTCCCTAACAAACAAAACTCCTTCAATAAAACCACATCAAAACAAAAAATGGAGGAGGAATCTGCGACACAAACACGCAATCCTCCTCCACCTTCTTCCTTCTTTCTTCTTCCCCCTCTGTTTAAAACTCTCCCCTTTCTCTCTCTAAAAACTCCCCCCTTTCTCTCTCTAAAACTGTTATGTGTGGTCAATGGTCAAACCTGAAAAAGCCCAATCATTCATTCTTTGCCTCATTTCGTACACCAGTCAAACTTTCATTCTGGACCGTTGGATCTGATCGTGATGGATTCATCTACGGATCTACGTGCACGCAACATTGGATGCTAAACGACAACTTTGTGAAGGTAAATTACTGATGTGCCCTTTACAAAATTACTTTTTTAGATATGAAGTTGGTAAAGTTAGAAATATGTACAAGTTTTGATGCGTGTATTACAAGTGGTTGTTTGGGTGTTGATTTGGATTTAAGAAAATGTTTTCTGGAAAACGGATTTACGTAAATTAGGTGATTCGCCGAACTACAATTTTGTCCACAAACTTTTTCGTTGGCGGTTAGGAAAAGTGCGAAAGTTTTCACTTTACACCCCTATACTATGATCTTATTGCAATAAAATGCCTATAGCATGGATTTATTTCATTTAGGTCCTTAGGCTATATGGTTATGTGCAATTACAATCCAATTTCATAAAATGTAGTAGGGGTGAGCAACGGGACTGGGTATCAACTTGCGAATGGTTCCGGTTCCTAAAATACGGAACCGATATGAGTGGTTCCAGTTCCTAAAATACGGAACCGATTGAGAATGGTTCTGATTCTTAATTTTTCAGAACCGTTACCCGTCGAGTACCCGACAGAACCGATTGTGCAGTTTTTTTTATATATATTTTGTGTAGTTTTTATTAAAAAAAATATGTGCAGTTTTTTATATAATTTATACATTTCTTTTATGTAATTTGTGTAGTTTTATGTTAAAAATATGTGCAGTTTTTTTATATAAAATTTGTGTAGTTTTTTGTTAAAAATATGTGCAGTTTTTTACGAGTATGTGTAGTTTTTTAACACTCAATTATTCACAGGTACCGTACGAGATTGAGAATGCGATGGGTATGCAAGAAGTTAAAACGAGATTCAGAATTGAGATAAAATGTTTCGTATTTTTGCAAATTGTGTGTTTAATTGGACTCGTAGTATGAATCGTTAAACTTTCAACATTTACTATTAGTCTATTATGGTTTGTAATTGTTAAACAATATTTGTAACCATTATTCTGTATAATTTGTATTCTTGTTTATTTATTTAGTGTTTTGACAATGTTTTATTTTTTATTTCTAAATAACAAAATTTTAATATTTTAGAAAGCGGGTACCCGGAACCGGTTCCCGGCGGTTCCGGTTCCAAAAATTCAAGAACCACTCTAACCGGTTCTAGTTCCAAAATCTCACGAACCGTCGGTTCCAATTCCTGTCAAATAGGGCGGGTACCCGCCTATGCTCACCCCTAAAATGTAGTGTTAGGGGTCGACCAGTAAGTACGCTTATCAGTAAAATTCAACACTATTGCTTACCTTATCGGATAAAATTTTAGTCTCGAAACAACATTGTATGCAACAATTTACAGGATAAAACGCTAGCGGGTAAAAGTCAACGTACTCATTACTAGGTACAACTTTCGGTCCCTGTCATCGCTTTTACCTGGTAAGATTCTTAGTCCTTATCATATTCATCCACTAAGATAATGTGACTTGGTAAGCGCTTACCGAGCAAGCATTTTGTAAATGGCTCCTTAGTTTTATGAATAATCTTTCAAGTACCATATACATTAATTACTATGTAATTATTATAACTAGGGGTGCACAAAAACGTAACTAAACCAACCAACCTAACCCTAAAGTTATCTGATATTTAATTGAGTTGTAACTGAGTTAAGGTTATTTGAACTCAACTCAATCCAATGAACTTCATACTTTATGTTTCTTGGATTTTTTGATGATTATTTAGTATAAAGATGGACCTATAAATTATTACAAGTGGTGCCAATATTTGACTATAAGAAACAATGATAAATTGCATGAAAAAGTAACGTACTTTAACTTGATTTTTTTTTGGTAACGTACTTTTAAAACTTCCATTTTGGTACATAATATGTAAAGTTTTAAACATTTAAGTACCCAGATGAAATTAGGTTGAATAATAAATAATATTGAGTTGGATATTATATCACTCGTCACATCAGCATGGTAACCGGTTAATGTTTCAACCGGTTACCCGAGTACTTAAATGTTTAAAATTTTACATCTTAGGTCTGAAATGGTAGTTTTGAAATTATGTTACCCAAAATATAAATCAAATTAAAATACGTTACTTTTTCATGCAATTTGCCAATAAAACAATGATATGGATATTTTTTCACAAAACGATCAATGGTCTATTGGTTAGTTATTTCTCTTTCGTATCTGATGTCATGTGTTCAAGTCTTTTATTGCAGATTTTTTTAAAACATAATAAATATGAAATTAAAAGTTAAAAACCAAGGAAAGTGAACTACACGCCAGAGGTACTAATACGCATATTTCATAAATAAACTCACACACCTTCCTTGCATTTGGCGAGGTTTGAACCCCTGACCTCCTAGAAGACTAAAGATTCACATACCACTAGACCAAAGGTCATTTGGTAATTTGTTGGTTTTATTATTAGACTAAAATGGGGTTTGTTTTTATATTAAGTAATTAATGAGGTCTGAAATCGAATTCGGTCAAATTTTCTACAAACGAAGACTGCTCTTTTCCAAGATTTGAATCTGACCTTTCAATACTGATTGATTTTGTATGCTTAATGTGTTTAAAATCAGATAAAAATAAAAAGAATAACATCTCTCGTTTCTCCAGCTCTCTCAGTTGACCTCGTCATTCTGTTCCCACTATCGTCATCCCCTTTCTATCATCATTGTCGTCATCTTCACTTGCCATTATTTTACATACACATACAACATGGAATACAGATCCCATTTGTATTCCAAATAAGGCTCATGAAAAAAGTCTAGTTTATTTGTCTAATCATGAAATCGTGTTGTTAGTTGTATGATGTTTGAATTTTTGATTACTTTTATATTGTAATATAAGACATTGTTTGTAAGTGGTTTGATTATGTTTGAGACATTTAGACTTACATATTTAAAAAAATGTAATTTACTTTTTGTTGTGAAAACTAACATATTGTAATTTTTTCGAGATTGGTTCAGGTTTCTAGTTCGAGTATAACCAACAGTAAACGGGAAAAAGATGACTGTCACTCTTAACGGGTTCCCCAATGGAGACAGGGAAACTGCAGGGACCCGATGGGGATTCCCATAAGACCCCCGGCGAGGATCGAGATGACAATTTTAGTTATTGGTTTCGGAAAACAGGATACCAATAACCGATCCGAACACGACCCGTTGTCATTCCTAATTCGGACCATATTATCCAAAAAATGGTAACTTGACAAAAAAGTTATCGTTATAAAAAGTTTTGGGAATAATTATTTTTACAACCACGTGTCTATTTATAATTAAAACGTGGTTTCGTTTTACAAATCTTATCATAAAAAAGGAATAATTCCTCAGCCGTTTAAAAAAAAATGTCAATTTTCACACGAAGCAAGTTTTTATGATGACACATTTTATTTTTATTTTCTTAATAAAAACTAATCATCGTTTAAAACATGGTATTATAGAAATTAGAGTAAATTATGTTTTCGTTCTTATGGTTTGTTAAAAATTGTTATTTTTTGTTCGTTTATTTTGAAATACTGTTTTTGTCTCTGTTGTTTATAGTTTATTATTATTATGATTTACAATTTATTTTTATATAATGAGCATCTCAAACAACTGTACTATAATCTCTCTCTCTCTCTCTCTATATATATATATATATATATATATATTACAAATGAAAATACCTTCATTTTATGAGAACATGAGAACATTTTTTTTTACTATAGACAATTACACGTGATATTATTATATCATCACATATGATATACATGTGATACTAAATAAGAGAGGCGAACGACTTTTGATATGATTTTGGTTGCGGGCCAAGCCGCCCTTACACCACTAAGCCTTTTCACATGTGATGAGGGTATTTTTTTATGTGATATTATAATTCATCAAGACCATCACATGTGATACTAAATCATAAATGCAAACGACCTTTGACTCGACCTAAGTCGCAGGGAATAACTTTCACATACCACCTGATCCCTTTCACGTGTATTATCACATGTGATAAATGTGTTCTTGCGTTATCGTAAAATGAAGGTGTTTTCGTTAGAACCTCTACACACACACATATAGGGACTAATTCAAGGGATAACTGATTAGTTTGTGGTAACCGTGAGATCAATTTGAACCGCTCGTTTGAGATATTTAAGGATATTTTTCTTAGATAAGCTAAAGGAGTAATATATTAATTTTATTTTTGACAACTAATCAAAATATTTAATCAAATTTTTTATAAGGAAATATTCAATTAAAATCAGTTACCTAGATATCAATTACCTAATATACATCGTATTTTAAAGATGTTTGTAAATCAAAGTGTATCATAGTGATAACGTTCACAATGTTTCACGTATATCACAATGTATTCTCTTTGTTTTACGAAATGTATCATAGTATGCATTTTCGTTATTTTCATTGTTTTACAAAGGGTATTACATTGTGCATCTTGTATGTATATATGGGTATCACTGTGAATATCTTTTGTAGGTATCATAGTGTGTATCTTGTGTTCACATAAGATTCATTAGAATAAGGTTCGCCAAATAAGATTCGTCGGAGAGAAAAGAGGAGAGACGAGAGAAGATATTTATAAAATCCTTAAAATGCTATTAATTAATATTTGAAGTTAAAAATACCAAAATTAATTATTTTTTAATTTAATCTTTTATATGTGGTTGAGATTAGATTTCCCCGATTATTACAAACAAAACAGTTCTCATTGATCAGACCTATATATATATATAGACTTAGGATCATGTGAGGCCAATGATTTTTTGTGAGACCCGTAAGACCAATTTTCAACTCTTGGATTAGATCTATAATCTGACAATCTAAACATTCATAAACGCCACAAGATTTCTCAATAATCACAAAATTGCCACCGTGCAATTTAGACCGTTAGATCATTAACTTATAAAGTTGATCAACGAACATAAATTGGTCTTACGGGTCTCACGAAAAACCTTTGGTCTCACGTGAACCCAACCCTATATATATACATATATAGGGGTCTATTCAAAGGAGAACTGAGTTGTTTGTGGTAACTGTGAGAACCAATATTAACCACAAATCAATAGATAAATTAGGAAATTTATAAATTTGGTAATTTTAAATTAAAATCTTAATGCAAGGATATTTTTGGTATTTTAAAACTCTCCTCTCTCCGGCCACCGTCCTCCGGTGATACCACTATGATACCACTGTGATACCTAAAAATATTGACTCTGTTAAACAAAAGATATGATACCTAATCATATATAAGATGCATAGTGATACCACTGTGTTACATCTTCGATCGACCACACAAACGACATCAATGTGATACCCAAGCACATATATGATGCATTGTGATACCATTGTAGTATCACTGGACAACGGTGGCCGACGGATGGTGGCCGGAGAGAGAAGAGAGGAGGGAGGAAAGTTTTAAAATATCAAAAATATCTTTGCATTAATATTTTAATTCAAAATTACCAAAATTATAAATTTCCTAATTTATATATTGATTTGTGGTTAATATTGGTTCTCACAGTTACCACAAACTAATTAGTTCTCATTTAATTAGGCCCCTATATATATATATATATATTTCAAAAGTAAAGAAAACATATGACGATTCTAATTCTTTAACCTAATTATACTCCATCAGTCCAAAAGTACTCTGGAGATCTAAGAAGTGTAATAATCTAACAAATACATGTGAACCTTGTGAACAATAAACGAGAAAAATAAAATTAAACTCAAAAAAGAAAATTGTCGTCTTTTTGGTTCGAATAAGTGTAATACATTGAGTCAATAAAAATTTTATACTTTTAAAACGCTCTCAGTATGTTCATCGTTTTACATTTTATTCCAATAGTTGCTAATTGAAAATTTATGTTTCATCTTAAGTAAATATATTTTTTTAACAAAAAGTTTTCATCATTGCGCAACGCACGGTGTCACACACTGGTTTTTCTAAAATCATACTGAATCGAACCATAACACCCCATAAATCATACTGAAACAAACATAAACATCCCATAAATTATACTGAAACGAACCAAAACACCTCATAAATCATACTGAAATGAACCAAACACCCCCCTAAATCATTAATGAAAAACAATAAAGAAACCTACATCCTTTAATGCTCAAAAGCAATTTCTAGTAAATAACTTACACATCAAGAAACAAATCAAACCCTTTACACCCTTTTGATTCATGCAACAAGTTTCTAATTAGATAACTTGCACTTCAAGAAACCTGCAACATCCTTTGATGCATACAGCAAGTTTCCATAAGATAACTTGCACATCAAGAAATCAACCCCATTCGTCGATCTCCAACGTCCGTATGCAAGAAATTTACGAGTAGATAACTTGCATAACAAGCAATGAAGTTGCACCCTTTGATGCATGAATTAAGTTTCTGATAATACTGTATAACGTACACATGAAGAAAGACGACGATATCCGGAAATAACTTTTCTTTACCTGTATTTGAAGACAAAAAAACGAACGTATCATTGGGACGACGTCAATGTCCAAAGTGGTTTCGTAGCAACTAAGATTCGTTCATTCATGTGTGATTCTGGTTCTGTATCGTGTATCGTAGATTCCCATCTTACTGAACGAGCAACAGAATCTAATTTTTTAATTGTTTCTGGTGAATCACGAACCACGAATGTTCCTTCGGGTCGTAATAACCGATCTATCTCGACCATCACATCCACAATATTACATCTGCAAAAAAGCAAAAAAAAAAAAAGAACACATAAAATTTACATTCAAATAGAGCAATGATTCCATTTCCGGGAAGTTTTCGGTCACAATGACCTATTTGCCCTTCCTCGTCGTTACAAGATTTCTCTTTTTACATCATTATTGAAGGATATTTTATAGATTTTACAAATACTGAAATAAACCAAACCAAATAAACCCAGTAAATCTCATCCAAAAGTACGATACAGGGGAAGGATGTACCTAGAGTCAGTGGCCGATCCAGGATTTTTTGACATGGTATCACAGAATAATTATCGTAATATAAAAAATTTAAAAGTAATTATAAAATTATTACACGGATTCCGTTTTTTGCTACTTTGGTCGATTAAATATAAATTAAACATTTAAGTCATTATGAAACTGATTCGCTAGTTTTTTTCTTCAAAATATTCTCTTAAAACTTTAAAACCTATCGTTTTTTGGTGCATTTTCAGTTTTCCACTTGGTGATTCTACATGATAGAATCGAGATACAACATGATAGAATCGAGATACAACATATTAACCTCAATATAAACAAATTAACCCTAAAGTCGAAAAATTAATCCCAAACTAACTCTAAACAAATAACCGTAAAGGCTACATAGAATCAGACCATACCTCCACCTTAAAAGGTAAAGAATTTATTGACGAGAAAACCCTCGGACTGCAAAAACGATTAGGAAAGCTTGATTCTAGACTTAAGTTTTTAGGGCAACTTTTCTGAAAGACGGTTTCCTACGACTGTACTCCCTCCATCCCAAAAAGAAGTGTCCACATTTCTACCCTATTTTGTCCCAAAATAAGTGCCAACTTTATGAGACGGAGAAATTCATTACTCCCTCTATTATTAAGTATAAAATTGTCATTTAATTGATCAAAAAGTGTAACAATAACACTTTTCTAAAATTGTACATCTTTTTCATTGTGGACATTTACTTTGGGGCGGAGGGAGTATGCAAGTTAATCGTCGCTAGAGCGAGGTAGCCTGTAGCCACCATTGCAAATGAGATGACTCGACTTTTACAAGAGTCTTAGGGGTTGTTCCGTTGCTTTTCCATTAAGTCCTGAATCGATAAAATTGTCTGTGTGGATTAATATGTCTGTATAGATTGGGAAGGTTTTTGTTTGGGAGTGTTTTTTCATAGATGGAAAAACGTGTTCTTTAATTGGGAGGGGCGGGTTTGAAAAAAACTTGGTTTTCTACATAAAGCTTCCCTTTAAAGCTTATTGAACAAGTCACTTTCTATATCATTAAGTCACCACCAAACAGTCATGCATCGTTGACCGAATAAGCTGAGTCCCATTAAGCTGACTAAGCTGCTAAAAAATGGGCCCTTAGACATCCTATACCAATGGGTCATCAACCCAATGGTACCTAGGTTACTAGTAAAGCCCAACCTTCCTGCTGGAGGTCAAAGGTTCAAGCCTCACCAAATGTGAGAAGTGTGTGTGAGTTTTGCCATGTATAAGATAATATATTTCAAAGAAAACTCTAGATGTAAGAGTGATCTAGAAGCTTATAGGTTCATCTACAAGAAAAATTTGGCTTTCTTTATGCATCACGGGCAATCTAGATGTTCGTAGTCAACACTACGAGATATAAGTGAATGTTAGAACACATTAGCAAATAGTATAAGTTCCTACTTAATTCTAGAGTCTTGAAGCCGCATTCCTTAGTGTATGCTTTGTTGGCATTCCGGTAGGCACAAAACATCATTTGAAAGGCACGAATGCACGGAAAACTTGTGATACAAGTGTCATGTTACATTAAGGTGTTTAAAGTCGAATGAAACTTTACTTAACTCGGGCCATTTAACGTTTTCATTTTGCGAGTTATATTCATAGATATGTGCTTACACGACATGATTATAAGTTTTCACTAAGCAAGGCTTTAGACATCTCTAGGTTTCTTTAGGTTGTCTTAGAGGCGTGCTCATGGTCTACCAAAGGTTATAGGGCTCTCTTCTGCAGGGATGTCCACCTCCCTAGTTGCTAGGCTACAGTTATGAAGACGTTCTAGCCTTCTAGGATCTCTTGCATCCTTCAGTATTCTAGAATCCTCTTCATACGTGCATGTAGTCATTTTCTTATATGAACCTATAACCTTCTCTAGGACTAGAATATTACCTTCAGAATTTGGAGTAAAGAGAGTTCTACGTAATCCATCCATGTGAAGGATAAAAGGAGAGATAAAACATAAAATAATAAGGGGATGTTTGGTTAGAGGTATTAAGCAGTAATTAATGGCATTGAAAATAAAAGAAACTATTTGGTTTTATATTTTAATATAATGAGTCTATTTCTCAAGAAGCCCAAATTTTCATTCCACGTTAAACTGGGGGGAATGAAATTGGGAATGGGGGCAAAATGAAAATTCATTCCCATTTTCATTCCCCCATCTGAACCAAACAACCCTAAATTTCTTCTCTTTAGCTTGACAATTGTACTCTTAAGTCTTATCTAGCATTCCTTTCTCATGGTGGAAGGCTTTTTTAACTCAACTATGATGGAACTATGATGGTGTTGTCTGTGAATATGTGGAAGTGGAACCCCATTAGATAACTCTTCAAAAAATCCCTTGAGAAGAGAAGGGAGGTTCCAACAAATATATTAAGAAGAAACAATCCCATGACTAGCAGATATAGGACTCCAATGCGCCCCCTCCAACGGAGGCTAGATGGGTACAGATTGTTCCATAGTGTCGTCAAGTCCCTAGAGTGGTAGACCTTGGCTCTAATATTGTGTGGGAATATGTGGAGCCTATTAGATTACTCTCCAAAAGATCCCTTGAGAAGAGAAGGGAGGTTCTAACAAATATACTGAGAAGAAATGGTCCCATGTCTAGCCGATAAAACTCCAATACGCCCCCTCTAACAGAGGCTAGACAAGCACAAATTGTCTCAGAGTATCGTCAAGTCCCTAAAGTGGTAGACCTTGGCTCTAATAGTGTGTGAGGATATGTGAAACCTCATTAGATTACTCTCGAAAAGAGCCCTTGAGGAGAAAAGGGATGTTCCAACATATACCGCGAAGAAATGGTCCAAGTCTAGCTGATATGGGACTCCATCGTGTTGATACTAAGACCGCACAATGGATTGGCGAGAGAATAAGCATGTTCATACATTAGCAATGAGTATAGTTCCTACCAACTATCATAGTTTTCATGAACATATAATGAGCATAAGTGACATGTCGATCCAATAGTGACATGTCGATCCAATAGTGACATGTCAATCTAATAGTCATGAGATGTTGATGCTTATCTAAGTTACCAAGCATAAAGTTCAATGAGCAAGAGTTCAATACCTCTTCTTGCCGGTAGTCGGATCCTTTATGAGTGACTCAAATGAAGCCACATGGATGAAGTCATAAGTCCGAGGGTAACTTGAGAAGGGTTCACACCTAGAGGAACAAAAGAAATGAAGTCTCCATCAAGATAATGTGTCAAACAGTTGAATGTTAACACCAAATTGCGGTATTCATAATAAACTAAAATAACGTTGTCAGGAACACAAAAATCAATAAAATGAAATACCCCCTCCGTCCCAAAATAAATGTCCACAATGAAAAAATATAGTTTTAGAAATGGCTTATTACACTTTTTAATTAGTTAAATGACCATTTACACCATAATAACAAAGGGAGTAATGGATTTCTTCATTTCATAACTAAGAGTAGAATTAGAAAGTAGACACTTAGGGGTTGTTTACCCAAATGCTTACCCGGTAAGTGCTTACCTATAGGAGTCAACACTATAACTTATTTTGATGAGTAAGATTTTAGTACATCAAAACGTATTGAATGCAACAATTTACCGGGTAAGCGCTTATCTGGGTAAGAGTTGCAATCTTCACTTACCGGTTAAGAATCTCCATCCTTCTCATCGCTCTTACCCGGTAAGATTCTTGGCCTTTGTCATGTTCATCCGACAAGGAAATTTATTCGGTAAGCACTTACCAAGTAAGCGTTTAGTAAACGGCTCCTTACTTTTTAGAGTGAAGACTTATTATGGGACAAACTAAAATAAAAACATGGACACTCATTTTGGGTCAGAGCGAGTAATATTGCACGTCACTTTGACCACCCGAGTCATCTAATATGAATTATTACTACTTCTTTCATTTATAAATTGCACTCGTTGTCCCATAAAAATAAAAGCGACCGGTTAAGACACCCTCAAGTAACGCAAAACAAGATATTCTACTATATCAAAATCAATATTATCAACATTTCGTAATAAATACGATAGACAAATAGGCAATTGGAACTTAAAAACTTCCCAAAAATGGAAATATTGAAATTTTTAGTGAATCCCCGAATGGAAATTATTGCAATTTTCATGGGACAGAGGGAGTAGATGGCACCTTACATAGATTACACACAAAGAAGAAAATATAGACTAATACTAGTTCAATACAGATAGTTGATTCAATTGATAGCGACTTGCAATTTATTCATGACTTAGTCAACCGCTACTCATGATCCCATTGAAAAGAGATATCGACTTTTTGAACCATCATCCATGACCTCGCAAACTAAGGAACAATCTTGCAAAAAAGGACAAAGGGTAACACCACAGTTTGCGGAAGTGTGCTATTTTGAACAAATTATGAACATTTAAACTCGAAATTCGTCATAATTTGCTATTTTTGTCCAAAATTGACCATTCTTGCAAAAGGGTAGACTTCTTTTTTGCATTTTTGAAAGATGGTTCGAAAAGTCAATTACTAAATGAAGAACAATACATAAGCAAATAGCAATAGCTCACCAATCATGATAAACGCCAATAAGTCCTCTATCAAAGATAGCACCTAGAGTTGAAGGCTTATTGTGTGGAACAATATTCATCACCCACAATGGGTCGGATATAAGGGAAGCAGCAAAGCCACCAAAAAATGCATTCATATCCATGACATTTCTTACTGCTTGGGTCCCGAGCTTCAAGTTCAATGATTCTTTGTAGAAAGAAATCCTCCGCTGCCAGAGGCGAGTATCGAGTTCAAACTCCTCGTTTCCATTTCTAATTACGGTAGCCCTTGATGGAGTTTTCGTTAGTCTTTGCGGCCATTTTGGAATTGCACCAACGGCAAGTTTTCCATTGACGGAAGACGGCAAGCTCACACATTGTTTTAACCCATAGTACCTGCAGCAACAACGTATTTATCAGGTTTAAAGTTCCAATATTCAGGTTTGTACGCATATAAAACCAGATAGACTAGAGAATTATATATATATATATATATATAGAGAGAGAGAGAGAGAGAGAGTGAGGTTCACGGAGAAAACCCCAAAAAAATAAAAACCTAAGGAACACCCTAATAATCATTCATCTATATGGTATGCACGTGTCTATACAAGTAATTGAAGACGTTTCTTGCTTTCTATGCACATGTGCATGTTATTCGCACATGTATACCGGAAAAATTACTTGCAAATTACTTGTATGCACATGTTGCATACCTTATAGATGAATGGTTACTAGGGTGTCCCTCGGTTTTTCATTTTTTGTGGTTTTCCCCTGAACCTCTCTCTCACTCTCTCTCTCTATATATATAGTGGGAGATTCAACTAAGAAGGCTAAATATTGTGAGGAAGTAAGAATGGAAGGTTAAGGGAAGGTTCATATGTGAATCATTGAAAATATCCATTTGAAGATGCATATGTGAAGCCATATGAATAATCAATAGCATCGGGTCACATATGCATCTTCAAATAGCTTTTTTTGGATTTTTCCAACGATTCACATATGAACCTTACCTTTTTACCTTATCACGATATTTAGCCTGCTTATTTGAACCAGCCCTTATATGTATATTTACATACATACATACATACATGTGTATATAGAGAGAGAGAGAGAGAGAAAGAGAGAGATTGGCTTTTTATTGCAAGCCAACCATCATTCTCAAGAAAACACCAAACAAAAGGTATAGTTTGCAAGAATGAGAGTTTAGGTAAATTGTGGATGCAATGCAGAAAAAATAACATCCTGCTCAAGATTTTTGTCCAGAAACCACTCATTCTTACAAAGTGTAAGTGTTCTTTTTTGCAAAAAACAAAGGTTTTGAAAAGCAAAATATAAAGGTTTCAAAGCCAATTGATTTTTTGAACCATTTAACTTGACTTATAGGTTACAAATTTACCATTATTCTGAAAAAAATACCAAAAACACAATAATTGGCAAAAATAAGCGATCTTGGACAGACTATAAAAGTAGAAGGACAAAAAACCTTTGTACTTGGAATTTTGCTTTAAAAAATTGCTCATTTTTGCAAAATGTAATGTTTATTCTGTGATTTCCCAATAAAGATGATTTATTTGCAAAGAAAAGCCAAATATGATGGTTCTAAAAGTCTATATACACACAGATATACATATATGAGTACATACATACACGCACTCATATATAGGGTCAGGTTCAGGGGAAAACATTAAAAAAAGTGAAAAACTGAGGAACACCTTGGTACATGTTCAACTTTACGATATGCATATGTGCATACAAGTAATTTGTAAGTAATTTAGCATAGAAACCAAGAAATGGCTTCAATTACTTGTATGCACATATGCATACCATAAAGTTGAACATGTACCAAGGTGTTCCCAATTTTTCATTTTTTGTGGTTATCCCGAACCACCCTATATATATATATATATATATATATATGCATATGCATATTAAATTACCATGCAGAACTAGGGTCATCTGACTCGTCACACAATTTGATCCCGAGCTTTTGGCTCTTGAGACATGAAATATCCGTGGGCTTCTTCCATATGGCAGTGTTCCCATCGACAACAACCGAATCATAGCACAATGCCTTAGCAACTGTCTGGAGATCTTCCCATTCTTTTTCATATCCATGCCATTGTACAGGGGGCCCCGAGATTACTAGGTACCCTCCTGGACGAAGCAATCGATCAACTTCCATAAAATACGTAGCATCTGCAAAATGAAATATTCTATCTTGTAAGAAAAGCTATGCAAGAGCTATCACATACCTCCCTCAATCCAATAAAGGTTGCAACGTTTGATTTGACTCATAGTTTAAGTAAAAGATCAACTAATCAAATATTCCCCCCGTCCGAAATATAAGGGTCCACATTTCTATTTTAGGGCCCGCTTGTTAGCAACTTAATGAAACATGCAGCCTATTCGGTCAACTATACATGACTGTTTGGTAGTGGCTTAATGATATAGAAAGTCGCTTATTCAATAAGCTTTTAGAAGAGAGCTTTATACAAAAAGCCAAGTTTTTCTAAACTTGCCCCTCCATTAAAAAACATACTCCTTCCATCTATGAAAAAACCTCCCAAACAAAAACCTTCCCGGTCTTACTGATAGATTAATCCACACAGACAACTTTATCAATACATGACTTAATGGAAAACCAACCAAACAACCCCTTAGTCCCAAAATAAGAGTCTACTTTCTAATCCTACCCTTGATTATGAGAGAGAGAAATTCATCCCTCCCTCTATTATTAAGGGTAAAATCATCAGTTAGTTAATTAAAAAGTGCAATAATTACACATTTCTAAAATTGTGTCCCTTTTTCATTGTGGATATTTATTTTGGGACAGAGGGAGTATTTAAAATATGTTGTACTCCTTTCGTCCCAAAATAAGCGATGACGTTTCTATTTTAATTTGTCTCAAAATAACTGTCCACTTTCAAAAGTGCCAATTTTTTAATTCTACCCTCAATTATGAGATGAAAATATTCATTACTTCATCTATTATTAAGGGTAAAACTATCATTTAATTATCAAAAAGTGTAATAATTACATATTTCTAAAATTGTATACTTTTTTCATCATCGACATTTATTTTGGGACGGAGGGAGTTAATAAATATAGACAAAGAAGTCTTAACTATTAAAATCACTATCATCAACTTGTAATGATGATGGTGGGTAAACAAAAATTTCATCTAGAATCGTCATAATAAAGGAAATGCTGAAATCTCATGGCATAGAGAGAGTATATTAGAAATCAAAGAACACCCACTGTGTGCGGTAAATGGTATCAAGCAACGAGAGCAGTGGATCAAGTCGAACGAGAACGCAGGAAACGGGAGTCGGCGAGTGCCAAGCATCAAAACAAATGCTGGTATTCCTCTTTCCAAAGCAAATTGTATCTGTGACTTGTGTGAATCTCTTGGAGCAAAAGAGAGCGTTAAAAGGTCTTCGGCTAGTAGGTACCCTCCAAAACTGGCAACCTGAAAAAACGTTAACCAATATGAATTTCAAAGACCGACAAGCCTCGATTGTAGGTAAACAAAAAGATTAGTACCAAAATGACTAATGAACTATCAATTATCTATTAACCCAAAGTTTGCTCCCCAATGCTCACCGGTTCGAGTCACCTCAGGGCCACTAGAGGTTTGTCTAACTTCAAGTTCCCATGAGATTAGTCGAAGTGCATGCAAGCTAGCTCGGACACCCATGGTTATCCAAAAAACCATCAATCTTTTGTTCATTCAACAAATGACGACGACGAATTAGCCAATTTGATAAATATTTGTTCCATAAGTGACTAGAAAGGTGTAATGCTGCCAGTTTGCTTCAGAACCATATCCATAGCCTTTTGGCATAAATGGATACTAGTTCCTTGGAAGTTGGCAAATTCAATTTTAATAACGCTACTTATGGATCTTTTCCTCAAAACCCTAATATCTTGTCGAGATGTTTATCTGTCTTGTCTGACTTGCTGAAATCGTTCATTAGAGAAAGAAGATGAATATACCAAACCAAACAAACCCAATACATACCACCCGAAAACAAGGTCTAGGAGGGGTGTGATGTACACAAACCTAACCTCTATGGCTATACGCTTTGAGGTAGAGCGGTTGTTTATGTGAAGACCCCCAGATGTTTCCGGTCTAAGGGGTTGTTTGGTTGGTTTTTCATTAAGTCATGTATGGATTAAGATATGTGTGGATTAATTGTTTGTATAGATTGGGAAGGTTTTTGTTTGGGAGAGTTTTTTCATAGATGGAATGAGTTTGTTCTTTAATTGGGAAGGGCAGGTTTGGAAAAAACTTGGCTTTCTGCACAAGGCTCTCTCCTAAAAGCTTATTGACTAAGCCACTTTCTATATGATTAAGCCACTACGAAACAGTCATATATCGGGGACCAAATAAGCTGTGAGGCTCATTGAGCTCACTAAGCTGCTAACAAACAGGTCCTATGAAAGGTGATGAATAGATTTGTTAAATCAGTAAAAGTTAAAAAGGGTATTAAATCGGGCAATTTGTAGTACAGATGTTGCTATGGTAACAAATTCAAGAAAAGAATACTTCAAATCTTACCCCACATCCCATATCAAGAACCGTCCGCAGAACCCCACCAGAAATGGGAATATAATGTTCAAGCTGCTCAATGTAATGTACGGCTCCATCTGGAAACATAGTGCCACCTCCAGGAAATATGAAGTGTGGACCTTCTTTTTTCATCCATCCCTGATGACCTTTCCGCTCAGCTAGTTTATTATACGGCATGTTTTCATGCCATATCTGCAATGAAAAAAGAGAAGAAAAGTTGTAGTATAAGCCATGTTTATAACAAAATTGCCACAGGTTAACCATGTTAAAGTAAATAAATGAAATGAGAATCTAACGCTATGTTACAGGAATTTAGAGCATGTTTCACCATTTACAATTCTTGACACTCGAGTAATCGAAGAACTTTACACCATAGCTTCTAAAGTACCATTAAATTATATAAAGAAACAAAAAAGAACCAAATTTATGTATGGAAATATGCAAATCTAGATTAACAAACTTCATCGTAAACAATCTTTCCCTTCCTTTTTGTCATGATTGTTTATTTTCCAACAATACTTTTATAAACTTACACTTAAAATCTTTACATTTGCACATGGATTCCTTTCTTCTTTTAGATAATTTTCTCATCGAGTGAATTTGAATATTCTAAAATATTCTAAGTACCTGTAAGGGATTGTACTAAGGGGCTGTTTGGTTGGTTTTCCATTAAGTCCTGCATGGATAAAGTTGTCTGTGTGTATTAATCTCTCTGTATAGATTGTGAAGGTTTTTGTTTGAGAGGGTTTTCTCATAGATGGAAGAATCGTTCTTTTTAACTGGGAGAGACAGGTTCGAAAAAAACTTGGCTTTCTGCATAAAGCTCTCCCCCTAAAAGCTTACCAAATAAGCCACTTTATATATCATTAAGCCACTACAAACAGTCATGTATAGCTGACCGAATACGCACCGAGTCGCATTAAGCTGCTAAAAAACAAGCCCAAAGACCAAAATCATAGATGAAAAATTATAAACTTCATTAAAATTTAAAGGGTCCACTCTGCGCCATTCCACTGCTCCAAACTTAATGATGTCAATCACAATCAAACGCATGCTTCACAAAATTTGAATATTTTGACCATGAATAAGAATGGAAGCTCTTTTACAAAGTAATCAACAACACTTCCATTTAGCATTCACACAAACAAACGAGTTCCTCGTGTAAGGCCAAGAAGAAACGATGTAGATCGGAAGAATGTATGAAAAGACATGTAGAAAAATAGAATACTATTTCGGTCTCTCTCCGTCCCAAAACAAGTGTCCACATTTCTATTTTAGTTTATCCCAAAATAAGCAAAAATAAGTGCCTACTTTCCAATTCTATACTTAATTATGAGATGAAAAAATTCATTATTCCCTCTATTATTAAGGGTAAAATTGTCATTTAGTTAATCTAAAAGCGTAATAATTACAATTTTCTAAAATTATGTGCCTTTTTCACCGTGGACATTTATTTGGGGATGGAGAAATGATGAAAGATCTATGTTATACATTTGCAATAGTGAGCTTCTGCTATAAACACATTTAACAAGAGCCATGTATAGAAGGATCCAGACCACCACTAACCTTTCACTATGTACTATAAAAAAATGTTGAGATGCGAGTAATGAATCGACGGGACCGGTTCAGATAAGAAGACTAAATGTCGTGAAAAGGGAAGAAGGGAAGGTTAGAGGATAGTTCATATGTGAAATCATTGAGAATTCCGAAAAAAATACTATTTGGAGATGCATATGTGAAGTGACGTTACATATTATTCATATAAGTTCACATATGCATCTTCAAACAGATTTTTTTCAATGATTCACATATAAACATTATCTTAACCTTCCATTCTTACCTTCTCATGATATTTAGCCTTCTTATTTGAACCTCCCATAGGAATCGATATAACTATGTATGGTCGTCATTAGGGGCATGGGCATGGTATCTAGAGGCAAATCTACACACCCATAAAAATAATGATCCTCTCCCTCAAAAATCAGAAGTCATTATAGGGTCATTTTGGGTAATATATGATGGTGACTGAAATTACCAATTACCATTAAGCTCGCCACCTTTTCCTTTTTTTTAAGAGAGAGAACGTCATCAGGGAAAAAAGAATGTGAATTAATCACATTTTTACTCTGTATAGAAACTAAGATGATGAGTTCAATGGTAACTTTCTTGTGGTTGCTATAGGTTTTACCGTAATATCATATGGACATGACTTCTTAAAAAAAGACAATTTGCTTTGAAATTCCAGATCTGCCAATGATGATACATTCATCCTAATTCACAATAGGAATGTACAAACACAGGACTAGAAACAGATCATCAACACAATTTGAAGTCCAAGATCTAGCTTATCACATGGATCACAATTGAAAGAATTCACGCTAGGTTAGCAACTCAAATACAACTCAATTTGTTGTCAATGCAAAGTTTCTGTGAGAATATGTGGAACCTCATTAATTACTCTCCAAAATAGAGGTTCAAACACATATCAAGGAGAAATGGTCGAAGTCTAACCTATACCGGACTCTAACATGCCCCCTCCAACGAAGGCTAGACGGGCACAGATTGTCCGAGAGTGTCGAGAGAATCAAAGGGGGCTAGACGAGTACAGATTATTGCCCCAAAGTGGTAGACATAAGCTTTGATACCATATGAGAATATGTGGAACCCAATTAACTATCTCCAAAAAAGTCATTAAGGGGAGAAGAGAGGTTCCAACACACATTAAGGAGAAATGATTCAAGTATGGCCGATGTGGGACTCTTCATCTTCTTTCTCTCCACTAACCTCATACTTGTTACCATTTCGATTCCAAAGCCATCAAGATTTAAACCTGAAGCCACAGGAAGGGAGGTTCCAACACATATTAAGAAGAAATGGTCCAGTCTAGCCGATGTGGGACTCTAACAATTTCAACCTAATTAATCTATCTACAAAATGAATTAGTGTATCTATAGTGAAGGACTTGCTTTTTTGCTTATGAAGTATGAGCCATGATGATCATTCATGTGGTATCGACGGCCACATGGTATACACAACATAATGTATTATTGTATACAACACAATTGAACCCTCCCACAGAAGTCTTTTAATGATTTACCTTGAAAAGAGATTAAAACAAGCTAGATTTCTACACAAACTCTTGCAACCCTTGCTAGCTCCTCGTTTTGGCACTTCCTTACTTCAAATCAAAATGGTCATGCTACCGAATCATGTGATACCTTCCATCCCATGAAAATCTGGCAGTCTTTTTAAATTATGACTAATAGTCAAATGTCCAAAAGCCCTCAATGACAAAACAAGGGAACCCAAATAACATATTCATAATAGACACTTGCTAACCTAATTAACTCCTTATTTTCGCACTTTCTTAATTCAAATCAAAATGGTCATGCACTGACTCATATTACACCTTCCACCCCATGAAAATTTTGAAACATTTTTCTAAAATTGAGACTATTAGTCAAATATACAAAAATCCCTCCAACAATGACAAAAATGGAAGAACCTATTATACTAAAATAAATAGCATCAATGAGTTGTATTGACGACAATTACCTACAATAGTTAGTATCTAAATTTAGCTTCAGAATTTGCTAAAAGATCTCTTGCAACTTTCATAAATACATACCAAAAGAGAAATTGTTGCACCTTTTCGAGCCGAGGGAATACTCTTAATATGAGTGGATAATGGCATCAGTGGATGGATTAGTTTTCTAACCAAACCAAACATACTCCCTATATCTCACTCAAAAATAGGGACTAGGGGTAGGATCTACGCATACTTTTCCTTTTCCTTTTCCTCTACTCCGAGGAGTAGAGAGATTGTTTCCATGAAGATCCCGTATTAATTATCTTGCCATTGCACTTAAAGTTTGCTGCAACCTAACCATTATATTTACTAAAATGCAAAAGAAACAATGTGGTATGTCGATGTGAGCAGTCTTGAATGATTGGTTTGCAACAAAACTACAAGTACAATCTTATAAAACACACTTGAGCATGTACATATACATATACATAGGGTCTGGTTCAAGGGAAACTGCAAAAAAAGAAAAACTGAGGAACACCCTACGGTATGCACATGTGCATACACGTAATTGAAGTTGTTTCTTGGTTTTTATGCACGTATGCATGTTATGCACATATGCATACTAGACAAATTGCTTACAAATTACTTGTATGCACATGTGCATACCTGAAAGGTTGCCTGGGTATTCCTCAGGGTATTCCTCAGGTTTTTCATTTTTTTACGGTTTTCCCGTAACCTGACCCTATGTGTGTGTGTGTTTCTGTTTACATTTGAGCAAATATAATTGCAGGAGCATGATAGTTAGGAATTAGCTTGCTCTTGCATCATATAATACTTCATCAAAACAAGTGTTTATATCATAACCACATCCTAGTTTCTGTCTCTGTACACAATTGATTTTCAAAACATACAAATATCAATCCTTTAGTAGAATTAATGAACTTCAAGTTCAAATTCAACATACCCAAATATCAACTCAAATACCATCATAAATAGACACAAAAAATCAGCAGAAATTAAGAAATCCTCTACTGAAATCACCTTATACAAACTAGTCGGCCACTGAATCGGAATATTATACCCTTCAGGCGGAGGGATCAAGCACAACGGTCGCTCTTCCGCCGGCGGACAATGTCTTTCCCGATAATAATTCATTTCCCTACTAAGCAATCTATTCCGATTAGGATCCTCACACGGCATATAATCAACAGTATCAGAAGGACAAGACTGAATCGTAAGGTTTCTTCCGGCTTCAATCAAGGCAATGAGGTGGTGGCGTTGCTTGGCGCCGGTGGTGGAGGTGATGAGAGCTTGGCTGCCGGATGCAGCAATGGAATCTCCAAGAGGAGTAAGAACGAGAACGAAGAAAAGGAAGATGGCAGCGAAGAATATGAGAGATACGAAGTCTAGGAACCGCCATTGTCGAGTGTTGTGCTTTGATGAAATGAGATCGAGATGCCTCATTATGAGAACGAAGATTGAAAGAACTATAAACTTAACATAACTGAAATCAGATCTGATTGCAATGGAGAGATGGGTGCAAGGGTTTTTGGGGAGATTTAGATATGGTTGTTGGAACTTGAAGCAGAGTGAAGAAGATCAGGGACCATGGACGAGTGTCTTTTAAGCTTTTCTTCCCAGAGATCAAGATTTTTGTTTAATGCCGCATTTTTTATGAGGGCTTTATTAAGGTAGCGTTTGGTATGCAGACGGGATGGGATATGACTAATTGTTTGTATTATGTTTGGTACGATTAGGATAGGATTGGATAAAACTGTTAAAATGACCATATTATCCTTAAATGTTGCTCAATATTATTTTATATCAATGTTATTTTAAATCACTTTTACATTGGACTACCCATAGTAATCATCCAAATAACGAACAAAAGCTAAAAATACAAACAGGCTTCAACATGCCAGAAAAAAAGAAAAAATTTATCAAAAGTTAAATAAGAAATTATTGAGAAGTTAAATCAGAATTAAATAAATTTAATTGCTAAGTCACAAAGATCAAAATGCTTTACAATTTCAAGAAGATTGAATTGGCATTTTGGCAGCGTCATTGACTAATAAGAATAATCGATGATTCAACCAAAAAAACTTCAAGAAATACAAGAATAAAAGTCAAAAAGAAAAGGGTAACATAGTCATTTTATATTTAGTCCCATGTTGTTCCCCCTTTTTTGGTTTTGTCCCATGAAATTTAAAAATAGTTTCATCTTGTCTTATGCATTTTCTGTCCATGACATGCCAAATATGAGACTATTTTTTTTTGTCCCGTCTCGTCCCATGTAGTCTGCATACCAAACGCACCCTAAAAGACTTATTAAATGTGTCATTTTTTACGTCATTAAGTCGTTATCAAACAATCATGTATAATTAGGACTATAAACGAACCGAACGTTCAGCAAACCATTCATGGACCGTTTGACGGGAAGTTCGTTTATTTAATAAATGAACGAACATGAACAAATATTTTTGTTTGTTTTGTTAAACGAACGAACATGAACAAGAGTCTTGTTCATTCATTTACCGTTCGTTTACAATCATTTATATTCATTCGTTTATATATTAAATTTAATATATATATATATATATATATATATTCTTTTGTTTATTTACTTTGAATTCAAATAATATTTACTTATGTTCGTTTAGCCCGTTCATTTATATTCGTTCGTTTAGCATGTTAACGAACGAACATAAACGAACACGAACACACCTGATTTCTAAACGAACGAACACGAACACAAAGATTTTCATTCGTTTATCGTTCTTGTTTGTTCGGTTAAGTTAAACGAACAAACATGAACAAGCATCCGTTCGTGTTCGTTCGGTTTGTGTACACCTCTATATGTAATTGATTAAATAAGTCATTTTCTATATCATAAAGTCACTATAAAACAGTCATGTATAATTGACCGAATAAATTTCGAGTCTCGTTAACCTCATTAATCTGCTAACAAATGAATCCTTACGTTTTTCGTCCTTGTGGTTTTTAAAAATTGTGATTTTCGCCCTTGTGGTTGAGAAACTGTGGTTTTCGTCTCTATGGTTTATAATTCATTATTATTTCCGTCTTTATAATCTACGATTTATTGTTGTTTCCGTCTATATGTTTATAGTTCTTTACTGTTTTGGTTCTTGTACTTAAACGTAGGAATTTAGTCCATGGACGAAATTAGCAATAAATTGCAAACCATCCGGACGAAAATTAAATTTCTAAACCATAGAGACGAAAATGAAAATTATTAACAAACCACAAGGACGAAAATCGTAATTTACCCTATACCTTAATTTGTTTTAAAATGAGTGTCCACTTTTAGGTTGTGTTTGGTACATAGAACATGATAAAACTTATTGTCTCATGTTTGGCGCGACATGAAACTGAACAAAACCCATTAGTCCACATTTGACGCGACATTAATTTTTAAGAGTTTTTATCAAATGTTTTATAATATAGCATAGATTAAATGCAAGTTTTGTAAATTCATTCTCTCTTCTACATTGTTGTTCTATAAATAGTCAACATCTAACATTTGGGGTTACCAAAATTAGCAATGTCACCAAATTGCATTAAATAGTTTCATTTATATAAGATAATGTTTAAGGATATTTTTGTCATTTTATCAATGACCTTTTACCAACTATCCATCTTCCTCTTTAACCTTTTTCATAGACTAAGGCTCGTGTGAGGATAAGAATTTAAGGTGAGAAATATAAAAAAAGATCTGCACTGTTGATCATTTTTAATCTCAAATCAATCTATGAATCGCGTTTTAGAAGAGAATTGATCTGGTGTATCTTATTATTGTTGATCTAGCGGATCTCGTCAATTAAGGTTGATTCAAGGGTGGAGATCACTTTTTACTCTTCTCACAATAACTTTCATTCTCACCGGAACCCAACCCCCTTTTCATATTTTTTTGTTAAACTTATAATCAAATTTGAAAAGCATACATTTCATAAAAAAATAAAACTAAAACTCATAAAACAAAATAAAAAAAATGCATCTTTAACTCAAATGAGAGACTGATAAAATAAAGACTCCGTAAAAAGATAAACAAAACCTACTTTTTATACAGTTATAGTGATGTGCAAAAAAGTCCAAGCCCGAAATCCATCCCAAGTATAGTCCGAACTCGGCCCCAAAAACTTCAAGCCTAGTGAACCCGAGGCCCAGTTTGACCGAAGTGTTTGGGGCAGGTTCTGGTATAATTCCGGTTCCGACCTGAAAAAGCGCAACCTAGAGATGGCCAAAAACTGGTCCCTATCTGGGCCGGGTCGGGCCCAAATCTGTCCAGGTCCAAGATTTTTCTCCTGTAACCTGTCCCATGGTAACTGTTTCCACTCCCAGTCCAAACCAAAAACACCCAGCCCGTTCTCCATGTACAAAGCCCGATCCATAGAACCAGTACCGGCAGCGGTTCTAAGTCGGTCCCATTTTGGCCATCTCTAGCGCTACCTGAAAAAGGTTTGGAAAAGCCCAAAAAACCTCCGCCTAAAAAGCTCCATTGAGTTCTTTATCAACCCTAAAACCGGCTCGGCCCAAGCCCAAAAAGCTCAGGTCTTTTTTGCACACTAAAATGGGCTTGGAAGGCCTGATCCCAAGCTCGAAAATGTTTGGGCCTCGTACATCTATATACAGTTATAACAAACCCAACAAATTTATTTTATGTGTTTTACACATTCTATTTGCTAGCAAACACGTTTTTTTAAAACACACGCCTGTATCAAACATAGAAACGATGATGAAAACTAAGAACATAAATGTCTATTGAACTAATGTCTTATTTCATCAAACATGATTTTACTACGTTTAATAATTACGTGTGTTACTTTTTTATCTTTTGAAAGATCCATTTACATATATGTTTCTAACAACAGTATTATCCCCGACTCTGAGATATCAGGTATTTAATACAGTTATTATCAGTTAAAATACGACTTTTTTTTTTAACCACGATTTGAGCTTTTCAAGTTAACAAGTACCAAAGCTTAAAGAACCGTATCGACAGTTGCTGATAATCGACAACAATACAGCAAAAAAAAAACCAGTTATCATTTAAAAAATCCTCCCAAAAAAATCGATTCCCTTGTTTTCTTTTTTAATACATTTATTAGAGAATTTCGAGGGTCTAAAATGTAATTATCGACACAATTAGATCGATAAACATAAACAATATAAAAAAAATTAAAAATCGTTAAAATTTTCATTTTCATTCTCGGTCTTGGGTCGGGGCCGGGGCCGTCCAATATTGCTTCGTAGCAACGAGAATTTTTTCTCGTACAAGCGGGCCTTCTTCATGATCAACCAACGTTGTTTCCCATTGGAGTTCGTCTGCAATTGTCTTTACGTTGACCAATAAGTCAACATCGTCTCGGATAATTACGCTTCCCTGTGGTCGTAAAATACGGTCCATTTCCAACAATATGTCTTCCATTTCACACCTACAAATGCCAAACATTCGTAAAAATCACATCTAAATTCACATGGTGGATAAAATACTGTAAGTAAGAACATATATTTTACCTGTCTTTGTATAAAGTAAAAATTGCATCTGCGTGAATGAAATCATATGTTCTTGGATACGTAGACATTGCCTCACACCTGAACCATCACAGTTGTCGCTTCGTTAGAATGAATCATTGCTTTTGCAAAAAAAAAAAACCACACTGTACTTTTCAAGAATAACTGATTTTGGACAAGACATGCCGTATATTATTTTCTGTATTTATCTTTTCGTAAATTTATCTGCATCACGCTGTACTCCTACTACGTCCCGCGATAATTTTTTAGCACTTACGCAAAATTATTGTTGGTAACAAAAATACCAAGTAAGAAGTTGGCCTAAATGATCATTGGCCCAATGGTACCCAGGTTACTACTGGTACTGGGGGTGCTCAAAAACCCGACCAACCCGATCAACCCAACCCAACACGAAATAACTCAACACGATGTCTAATCGAGTTGTAAAATTGTCAAATCGTATGTATTGGGTTACTATTATTTGAACCCAACCCAACCCAATGAACCCGATATCCTTTTATTTCTTGGATTTAATATGATTGTTGAATTTCTATTAATATGTACATTAGACAATTACACTATCATGTATGCTATTCATATACACATATATTCAATATATTCACATCTTTATATAACTCATTCGTATATATGTTCAATAACTGTGAATATATATATATATATATGTAATTGAGAAAATTAACTGAATGTGATATACGTAAGAAGTATGGATAAGTTGTATCAAATGATTGATGATGAAAAAGAAAGTATGAGTAGAGAAATAACATATTATAGGTTAGAAGAATATTTTAATGTACCAAAGTATCAACCTGACCAACCCGTACGGGTTGGGTTGGGTTGCACTTTGGTTCGGGTTGGGTTGGGTTAAGATTTTTCAAACCGCAAGCATTGGGTTGGGTTGTTCAAATGTCTTCAACCTGATCAACTCAACCCATGAGCACCCCTAACTGGTACTTTGGTAGAGTTCAGCCTTCCAGTAGATCAAGGGTTCAAACTTCACCAAATGTGAAGAGTGTGCGTGAGCATTTGTTGTATATAAATATTATATATTTAAAAGAAAATTCATAAAGAAACGGGAAAACTAGAAAAGTACCAATTTTGATAAGTTCCGATCAATCCACGCTCATAGATAACTCCGAGAGTATTCACATTTGCCTCGACAGGGACAACATTCATGACCCACACCGGGTCTTTGCTGATAGCGAGTGCGGCTGCAAAACCTCCCAAGTAAGAATTCATATCTAGCAAGTTACGGTACCGTCCCTTATCCGCAAGTTGTTGATCTAGTTTCTTGTAACGTGATAACCTCGTCTTCCAAATATCTGTATCGTTTGTAAAATCTTCTTCTGTAATTTCTCCTACGCTACGACTAATGATTCTTGGTGGGGTTGATGTCAATCTCTTAGGCCACTTTGCCACCGGCCCACCACCAGATGTTTCCTTAATGTTGGAAACATCTGGTAGTGGGGTTAAACATGCTTCCATCTTCGTATACCTGCAAACGGTAATTTGGTCATAAAAAGCAACAACGTGTCATGCACAATATCAAAGCTCTATTAGCGTTACCATGCCATATCTGGATCTTGATTCTGGCAAAACTGCGGTTTCTTGAAGACCTTACGATTGATTTTGCAGTGAACATGATTTGTAGGCTTTTGCCAAATGGCAATATCGTCCTTTTGAATGATCTTTTTCCAACACAGACTTCTCGCCACGCTTTCAATCAAATCCTGTTGCCCCTTCAATTGCTCCCTCGTTTCGCCCCAACCTTTCCAATGCCTCTCCCAGTTGATAGGTGGGCCCGATAGGATCCAGTATCCCCCAGGGCGTAAAACTCTATCAACCTCGATCAAATACAAACCATCTATACAAAAACAGAAAAAAATGAACATATCAACTCTCTGTTTCCATACATTATGAATTAAACTATCACGAAATGTTCGGAATTTGATTAATTACCATATTGCCCCCACGGGATAAGGCAACGGGAACAATGAGCCATGTCAAAAGCTCGAGAAGGGTAAGGTAGTCGAATTGAAGCAATAATGCCGATCAAAGCTGGAACTCCTCGTTCAAGTGCAAATTGAACTTGAGCTACGTGAGTGTCTTTGGGTGCAAATGACGTTGCTAAAATATTTCTCGATAAAAGGTAAGCACCCAAACTAGCCACCTATAAAAACCGCTCAAAAAGATATCATAGGTATAATTAACGGAAAATCAGTTACCGACACGAAATACGAGCAACTTTTTTTTTTATGTATATAATATTTATATACGACAAATAGAACAAATAAACTCACACACTCTCCACATCTTTGATGATGTCTGAACCCCTAACCTCTTAGGAGACCAAAGACTCACATACCGCTAGATCAAACGCCCTTTAAAAAAAAGTAATAAAATATTTATTTATTAGTATTTCTAACATTATTTCCTTTTTAATATGTGATTAAAATTACTAGCTTTAAATATTTAAAAAATAAAAAAGAAATTTGAGTACTTTCCATGTCCAAATTGCTTACTTCCAATTGGATATTTTTTAGGTGCATCCAATGAAACCTAACACCTTTTTCATGTTTTTCAACCACCCATTAATCTTCAAATCTAATTCAAGATTTAGGATCCGTTTATTTAAATGTTTATTCGGTAAGCATTTATAGATAGGGGTCAACATTATAATTTATTTTATTTGATAAGATTATAATATATTAAAATGATATTATATGTAACAATCTACCCGGTAAACGCTTACCCAGGTAAAATCGTTACCATCACTTACCGGATAAAACTCTTTATCTTTACCATTGCTCTTACCGGGTAAGATTTTCGGCCATTGCCATGTTCATAAGGTGAGAATAATTACTCGATAAACACTTACTGGGTAAGTGTTTAGTAAACGATCCATTAATTTAATTAAATAACTTATGATTTTGAGAAAAAATGATATTTATTATTTTTAATTAGTTCAAAAATAAACCTATTTTTCTTTTAAGCAAGAATATAATTGAAAATTTGTATAGCAATAATTATTATAATCTATACTATATTATAAAACATTTGACAAAAACTCTTAAAAACTATTTTTTATGCATGAAGTACTGTATATTGATGCATATTACTTAAAATTCAAGATTACAAGTAAATTATGCATAAATATAACTTATTAAAGTTCAATGTTTGAATTCATGTAACTAACTGCAGACAAACATAATCAAATAGAGGATAAACATCTTATTTTAAAATATAAAAAATCTAAAATATAATTAGGATAATTATMGAGTTYTARYAAAATAATTAATTATTATCTTTATAAGAGAATTATATTATTAAATCAAATATAAATTACTCCGTTATTGAACCTAAATTAAATTATAATAAAAAATTGAATTAAAAATTATACAAAAAATAGAAAAATGTTTTTGTCAAATTTTTATGATATCTTCAAATTTATATTTTATTCAAGAATAAAAATATTATCGTTTTTTTAAAATCACATAAGACCATACTATAACATCGATTGAGATAAATAATAAAATGAAATATTAATATCAAGATGTATCTCGCTGCATTACACGAATACCCTTCTGGCTACTATTAAAGTTGATTTTAGTTTACAAGCTTTTCAAAAAAAAATTACAATTTAATTTGTTAATAAAAAACCTCATAATATATTAAATTAAATATTATATTTTTGAAAAATATATATATTTTATTTTAAAATCAACTAATTTCTTTTCTATTATCATCAACAACTACTTTGATTCCAAATCTCCAATCACCAACAACCGCGACTTTTTAATGATTATTCTAGAGAATCTTTTATTTATGACAATTTGCAATAGGGTAAATTTCTATAGCAAATTGTATGAAAAAATAATGTATTTTAATTTAATTCTTATTTTAGGTAACATATTTTTAAAGCTTTAATTTTGGTATTTAAGATGTAATAGTTTAAACATTTAAATACTCGGGTAACTGGTTAAAGCATTAACCTGTTACCATGCTGACATGGATACCTTAATCTAACAAGTTAATGTTTCAACCAGTTACCCGGTTACTTAAATGTTTAAAACTTTACATCTTAGGTACCAAAATGAAAAGTTTAAAGGTATGTTACTCAAAATAAGAATAAAGTTAAAGTACGTTACTTTTTCATGCAATTTGTCCTTTGCTATATGCATCATGAGGCAAATTTCCTACCTCTAAGTATGAGGAACGAAAATAAAGACCAATAAGTTATAAATTATAAGGATGAAAATCGTATTTTCAAAAATATAAGAACTAAATAATGATTTTTCTATAAATTACAGGGACAAAAAATGTAATTTACTCAATTTTCAATTTGGTCACCAAATTTGAAAATAAGTAAACACAACCTTAAAATTTACAAAAAAAAAAAAAGAATTATTATATTCCACCAAACCCTTTAAATAAAAATTGGAAAAAATAAAAAATTATACCAAATGGATTTTATTTATTCTAAATTAAATTAAAATTAATTTTAATATATAATCTTTACTTTAAAAATATTTATGGTATGTAATTAAATGCAAATATTACATATGCATATAAATACATAAATGGAAATATATTTTATTTATTGTTGTATTTATTATTTTTTTAATTTAAAATTCTATATAAAAGTCGATAATTGATGTTAAATGGAGAATATAATTGATATCACTATAGTCAACGTCAGTCTACGACTAATAATGATATTTTGAAGATATTTAAGCAAAAGTCGTCGACCAATGAAGAAAGAAGATAGAGTCAGATTCATATGAAAATAATAACCAAATAAGTGAATAAAAAATAGTCGATTCACTCGACTTGAGCAGTGACCTGAGATCACGGGGCGCATTGCCCGCGTACCCTTACAGTGACTATTAGGGTAAAATTACACTTAATTCGACCGTTTTGTTATTATCTTATTTGGTTATTGTTCTCGTTTAAACCTTCTCTCTTTCTCTCTCTATATATATAAACAAGAACAATAACTAAATAAAAGAGTACGAAATGGTTAAGCACGTGCAAAATCATATGTGATTTTATATACTAATGGCCAACAAAAGGGTGCGCGGGCAACATGACGTGCGACCTCAAGATGCAAACCAAAGTCGAATGAATAACATGTGATCTTATACATGATTTTAGTGCAAAACATCACATGTTATTCGACCGTTTTCATATTCTCTTATTTAGTTATTGTTCTCATATGAAGTTGTCTCTCTCTCTCCATATATATTAATGTTTATATATATAAAGAGAGAGAGAGAGAGTTGGGTTTCGGTGAGAATGAAAGTTACAGTGAGAAACGTAAGAAGAGATTTTTACTTTTAGATCAATCATAATTGAATATCAACATTAATAAAGTATACGAAGATGCAACAGATTAATTATCTTCTAAAAAACGAGTAACTTTAGAAAAAAAAATGCCAAAACCCCATAATCATACTAGGTATTTTTTGTAAAATAAATATTTTATAATATATAATTTAATTTTTTAAATAAAAATAATAATTATATTTATAGACACAAATATTTGAATAAGATAAGGAAAGAGAGAAGAATTTGAACACATACCCCACAACCGGTATCAATGGCGGTTCTGATAGACCCATCCCGGAGATTGATCAACTTTCCGATATCGTCAATGTACGCGCCGGCACCATTCGGAAACATCGTTCCGCCGCCGGGAAAGGTAAACCGGTCACCGTTAAACCTCACCCAATTCTGACCCGCTTTCTCCACCGTCAAATGCTTATGCGGCACGTTAGCATACCACGCCGCGTCCCGGCTCTCCGGCCACCGAAACGGTTGCCGATAACCGAACGGCGCCGGAATCCTACACTTCAACACCTCCCCTTTCTCCGGACAGTGCCTCTCCCTATACACCAATCTCTCCCGGTCAAACTTCAACGACCGGTCAACGTCCTCGCACGGCGTGTACTCGCTGAATTCCGTTGAACACGGCGGGAAGCGGTTCACACGCGCTGCCGGTGTCGAGTCTGGGATGTCTTCAGCGAGATGGTGTGGGTTGAAATCAAGCGGGGTTTGTGTTCTAATGGGAACGGCGTCGTTTGGCGCAACGTTGCACGGAATAGAGCTACGGACGTCCGTGGAAACGGTGGTGATTCCGCGGAGTTTCCAGTTTCCGATGAGGTAAGAAGAAGAACACAAGACGGTGGTGAGCAACATGAAGAAGATGTTGGTTTTCTTCATCCTTAAACTTATCAAAAACGATGAAATTCTGTTGGACGCCATTGATGAAACATGAGGATTGAAGAAAAACACAAACACACGAAGAAATTTGTTGGTCGGTTTTTGTGTGATTTGAGGTTTGGTGATGTGTTGCTGTTCGTTATAGTCACATGAGGTGTGTTTTTCTAGAGAGAGATGGAAGATGGAGGTGACGACTGAAGCTCTTTAATGGCGGTTTTTGTTTGCTGGTTTTTTTGGAAAAAAAATGCACGCGCGTAGGCGCGTGACGACGCTCCGTCTCGTGAACGTTACTAATTTTGGAAATTGGAATATTTGGGTGTGGTTTTGCGGGATGATTTATTTACCACCCTCGTAATTATAAAAATTGCATTTTGCACCCTTTGAGTTTTATAAAATGACCAAATCAAATTACGCATTTTCAACATATTCTAAAAAATGGAGATTTTAAGAATTTTTGCTCCAACAGATTCTTTAAAACCCTCTCCACAACGGAGAAAGTAGGAGAGAGATGATAAAAATATCCAAACTTGAAACTCATAACCCTGGTATTAGTCCCAACTCAGGCTGTCGGGTCAAAACCAGTTCTAATCAATCTCAGGCGGATTTGGGCCCAATTAAGCCGTTTCCAGATTAAATTATGTTTCTCGTACACGGTTTGTTGAAAATTGATATTTTCGATCTTATGCTTTCGAAACTACGGCTTTTATCCCTATAATAAACAACTCAGTGTTGTTTTTGTCTACGTGGTTTGCAATTCATTGTTGTTTTAGTTCCTTATACTTAACGGTAAACTACTGACGGAGTTGCCCACAAGGACGAAACACAATAATAAATTGCAAACCACGGGTTCAAAAACCGTAATTTTAAAAGCTCAAAAACAAAAGCTACATTTCTTAACGAATCCCATAGACAAAAATCGTTTAGTTTTACTTCTAACTTTCTTACTAAAATACAGAAAAATCATTGCAAAAAGCATATTTCTCAAAAGTAATTATGTTGGATAACTTTAATCAAATAATCTTGAAAATATTGTTGCACGTGAATGATTGTTATACCAGTGTTAAAAAGTTGAACTGTTTTGATTGTCATTTAACAGATTTTAAAAACCAGCGACTGAATGAAATTTGCAGTGAAAAAATGTGGTGTTATTTTTGTAACTTACTTTTTATTAAACCAATACAATTTTTATTCAACGTTTTCCGCTTTTGCTTTCAACGTTTATGTTATAAAAATTATGAACCAGATAGAAGACGTGTTTAATGTTTTTTGCTCACCAAAAACTAAAATAGACTTACAAGATCTTGTAAATTCCATTTATAACACATAACTTCGATTTGTTGGATATTATTACCCAAAGCCGATAGAGGCTGCAAAACTACAGTCGTACCTTTCAGTATTTGTAATTAAATAAAAATCTGATTATTTTTAGTGTGAGATCATAAATTTGATATTTCTACTACCTAAAAAAAATAAGTAAGGGGCCGTTTACCAAATGCTTACATGGGTAAGCGCTTATCAAGTCACATTACCTTACCGGATGAATACGACAAGCACCAAGAATCTTACCCGGTAAGAGCAAAGACAAGGATCGAGAGTCTTACCCGGTAAGTGATAACGACGATTCTTACCACAGTTAGCGCTTACCGGGTAAGTTATTACATACAATGTCGTTTTGTCGGACTCACGTCTTACCAGGTAAGTAAACAATAATGTTGGATTTTACCCGGTAAGCGTTTACCGGGTAAGTATTTAGGTAAACGGCCCATAAATCCTATTGGTCAAGGTGTAAGATCTTATATTGGTTGGGGAAGGGAATGAATGTTTCCTCATAAGGGAATGTATACCTCCTCTATCAGGCACTTTCTAAAACCATGAGTTCAGATCTGGACAAAATAGACAATATCTGATACGGTTGACCTGAAATGTTACAAATGGTATCAGAGTCAGGAATCGGACTAGTAGGCCAACGAGGATGTGGAGCTCCCAAGGGGGTGGCTTGCAATATCTCACATTGGTTGGGGAGGGGAACAAAAGTTGGCTTATAAGAGACTGTATACATCCTCTATTAGACGCGTTTTAAAACCGTGAACATAGATCTGGACAAAACAAATAATCTTCATATATTTAAATATGTATATTTTTTAGATAATTGTAGTTATATATTTTTTTTGAATTTAAAGTCAATATAATTGCTATAAAATGTTAATTATACAATGGAGATTGTTTTTATATCCAGACCCACTATAAGGACCAATATCAAATTATCTATACTATTTTATAAACTATTTGATAAAAATTTTAAAAACTATTTTTTATGCATGAAGTATTGTTTATTGATGTATATTATTTAAAATTCAAGATTACAAATAAATCTGTACATAAATACAACTTATTAAAGTTTCATATTTGAATTCGTGTACCTAACTGTAGATAAATACAATCAAATACAAGATAAATATTTCATTTTAAATATAAAAAATCTAAAATATAACTACGATAATATTGAGTTCTAAATTATTCTTATAAAAAATAATATATTAAATCAAAAATAAATTACTTCATTATTAAATCTAAATTATAATAGAAAAATTGAACTAAAAAAATTACACAAAAAAACAAGAGCTTTTAAATAATTAATTTGATACTAATATCAATATTAATTATTTTCAAAATTTATGATATCTTCAATTTATACTTTATTCAAAAAATAAAAAACATTATCATTTTCTCAAAACCACATAAACCATATCATAACATCTACTGAGACAGAATAAAACGAAACATTAAAATCCAGAATATATCTCGTTGTATTGTGCGAATACCCTTCTAGTAGTTCTAAAAATGGGTTTATTTTTGTGAGTTCGAGTTACGTTTTTTTAACCTTAATATTATAATTAAAAGTGAAAAACTGATCAAAAACCTGGATCGAACAATTTAAAAATCATTTACGACATTTCGGATACAACCGATTACTTCCATTAAAGTACAAGATAAATGAGCGATTATGTTCTTTTTACGAGATTAAACAAGATCCATACAGAGTTTTAACCTTTCAGTATTATTTAATTTTAGAAAGACAATTAAAAGCGTAATAAACCATTTTCTTCCGTGTCAATTGGGATGTGTCCCTACGTCTTTAATACTTTCCTCTTGCTACAAGTTTTCCCTTATGGAGCATAAAAAGGTTCGTTAAGTTCTGTTGTGTTTTATGGATATATCTGATCTTTACGATTCTTGATTTATTCTGGTATCATTTATGTTCTGTATGGCATCTAAATCAGTATTATATATACTTTACATCTTCTACACTTCTTCTCCCTCGTTACCTTTTCCATGTTCTTCATCGTATCATACACGTAACATGTTTACTCAACAAGAAACACAATAACAATGTTGGAAACTGTTATATGTGTTGTAATAAAAAAAACATGTTCACAGGGTTTTAGGACGCCAAAAATGTCTAAATGTATTAATAGACTGTTTTATATGACTTAAGTTTATAAAACCAAACAAATTGCGTGTTACAACACTTTTCACATTTGACACACAAGGGAACCAGGTAGTAGACGGTTTGATTAGTCTTTCGCCCCTATACCCAAGTCAGACGAACGATTTGCACGCCAGTATCGTTGCGGGCCTCCACCAGGGTTTCATCTGGCTTCACCCCGCTCAGGCATAGTTCACCATCTTTCGAGTCCCGACAGACATGCTCACATTCAAACCCTTCTCAGAAGACCAAGGTCGATCGGATTTATTAGAACACTTATACATTTTTTACATCCTTTAAACCTATCTTTTTTCGTAGTGTCGTGTTTCAGAACACTATTGTCTGATGCATTTGGAGCAGAACGATTACGACATTCGTAAACGGTTTGAGGGCGTAAACGTCTTTTTGCTCATGCTTAACAAGTGTTGTATCTAGAATGGGGTCTAATTATCATTCTCTCTATTTCGATAAAACAGATCATGATATCGTGGTTATTTATGATGAAGTGAATATTGGGGGGTAGTTTTTCTATTGCAAAGGGTAAAATAGTAAATTTGATTGATTGCACGAAGGGTATTTTGGTAATTTTACCAGAAGTAGGATATGGTGGGGCCACAAATCAGAGGCTCTATTGCCTCTGCCAATTCATCGGGTGTTTGTCCTTTGTAAGCTTGTTCCAAGAAATAAATATCTTTCTATTTTGCATTTGCATTAAATTATTTAATATCTTTTTTATTATAATAAAAATTAATATTAAATTTTGCATATAATAATGTTTTATAGAGAATTAAATATTTAAAATATTATTTTATAAAAAAAATATTCTGCTGTAAATAAATTAGTATTAGCAATAATTTGTGATAATATTTCAGACAAAATAGGACATGAATAACAGTTTAAAACGAATAACTTTTTAGGATAAACTGTATAAAAAATGAAAGTACAGTATTTTTAAAAAGCATATTTTTAAAAGACACGTATAAATATATATAGTTTAAAAAATGTTTATTTAAAAATTTAAAGTTTAAAAAGGGACACATTTAATGTCAAAGCATCCAGAAGGTTAACATCTGTTAAGGATAAGCTGAGATTAGGATAAACATCGAAATAAACAGGGCCATGGGCCAAGCTAGATTGGATCATTCCAATTATGGATTGTTGCCAATTAAGATTTCTTCCATCTCTAAGAGCTGCAAGAAAGCTTTCTGGTAATCCAACAAGAGTGAGCGGTTACCCTATTCCTAACAAGAAAGATCTTCTTGATCGTCTTTTCCAAGCTATTATTTTTTCAAAATTTGATTTAAAATCTGGTTATTGGCAAATCCAGATAGCCGAAAATGATATTTATAAAACGGCTTTTAATGTTCCTATGGGACATTATGAATGGAAGGTTATGCCCTTCGGTCTTAAAAATGCTCCTTCTGAATTCCAACAGATTATGAATGACATTTTTTATCCTTACAGCAATTTTATCATTGTTTATATTGATGACATTTTAGTCTTCTCAAAAGACATTGAGAGTCATTTTAAACATCTTAATATTTTCAAGACTCTTGTTATCCAAAATGGCCTAGTCATATCTAAACCTAAAATGTCTTTATTCCAAACTAAGATTCGATTTCTTGGGCATGATATTGAAAAAGGAACAATTATTCCTATCCAACGCAGTATTGCTTTTGGTGATAAATTC